GTGAGCAGTTTCAGCACAGTTTGTCAAGCAAATAGGGTGGATTTTTTTTCGTCGGTAGGAATCTGGCACACGGTCGCTAGAAGAACAGACCAGGCGTCCAAGAAGATTTTTTTACCATACCTAGAAAAAAAGGTGATGGGAGAAGTACAAGGAAAGAGAAGTAGATGCCGATCGTCTGTGGGATAATCTGATCAAATCAAACAAGTCACGTATCGTTTCACCAGGCTGAACATCGAGAAATATGGAATAAGACAATAGAAAGAGGAATATAGACATTCCAAAGAGGTCACAACCTTCATGACTGAGAAAACGAGCATAGAGAGAGAAAGGAGATAGATAAAGACATACTTTTACGTATTTACTCAGAATATAGCTCGTATATAATATTTATCAAAGGGGTAAATAAACTAAATAAATATTACTGATAGCGAGCAAATAGCAAAGTTCATTTTGCTCCTCAAAAAATAAAGTAAATTCATATTTGCATCGTGACTTTATTCTTTTAATAGAAAAAATCTATCTTTATATTGATCTAAATAACCGTTATACCAAATTCATTAAATGTATTAAATGTAGATAAAGAATAAAATTAAATATAGAAACAGCAATGGATAAAGCTTTATTCCTGTAGACGAAAGGTCTATTTTAGTACTAGTTTATTATTTATTTTTAAAATAATAGGTATAGAATTTAATAAAATTCTACAGATTTAAAAATACGAAATATTTTATCAGTAGGTGTTTTATTCCTTTCTGTTCTTTTATTAGTATCGTCCAATTTGTGTAATCATAACGCGGATATAATGTAAAATATGACTATATTTGCCTGCACGCACGTGGGCGATGATATCAGCTTTGTGAAGTTTTTCTTTTTGATGTTTATATTTTTGCAATATTAATGAGGTTTTTTATATACAGTATGTTCCCGGATTGTCTATACAGGAGGAAACACTTTTTTGTTATTGGCATTTTGAGAAAAATGCATTCTTCATAAAAAATGTTCGCGTATTCTAAAATGGGAACTAACCATTTTAGATTTTAGGGATTTTAGGGATGCGTTTATACTTTTCTAGATTTTCTTACCGTTTTAGAGAAAATTAAGAAAAACATGAAAATATGGTTGAGTTTTTTTCAAGTCCTAAAAATCATAAGGCGTTTCTATGGTAATATCAATTCGATTTCATTCTTTGATAGATGGGTATTATTAATTTTGGTTAATGTCATATTCTTTGCTGTTGTAAAAGTACCATATATTTTCCGATAACTATCATCACCCTTTCTGCAGCATTGAACTAAATAAATTTTTGTGCTTTTTTAACATTTTCAAGCAACACAAATCACGAAGTTAATTAAAATTCTATGAATAAAAATCTATCAAAGAATGAAAACGAAGTTATATTATCATAGAAACGCGTTTTGATTATTAGGACTTCAACAATAGAAAATATTCAACAATATTTTCATGTTTTTCTTAATTTTCTCTAAAACAGTATGGAAATTTGGAAAAATATAAACGTGGGATTAACCGTTTTAGAACATACATTACTTACGTAATTATGTAATAATAATTACATTAGAAAATCTTTCTACTATCTTTAAATACGAAACAGAAAAATTATAAACTGAGTGAGACACTTAAAATGATGTCGCTGTACGCCTAACAAAACGGTTATCTTTTATTGACTGCAGATGGCAGTTGGAAAATTTTATTTTTATTAGTCATGTAGGGAGGGTAGTATCTTTTCACTTTCTTTTGGAGTCGAAAAGACGCTAATTGCCCACTTCACAATTACCATACGAGTTTTGAGCAAATTTAATGTCGATATGAGTGCGAGCAGTTTACTTGTTGTAAACCAAATTTTCATTACATGCAAGTTAACAAGAAAAAAACAGTCTCGAAGTGTCAATATTAAAGAAGTGAGGTTGACATATAAGTTAAAATTAAATTTAATTTTATTTTAATTATTAATTTAAATTGATTACCTTGTGTTTAATCGTTCACAATTTATTTTAATTTGTTGTGTTTCATTGTTAAAAATAAATTTATTTAATATCTTTTAACTTTTCACCATTTTTTTGGACTAAAATTACTAATCTAATTATCCCCGCATACGTAATAAAAAATGGTATGTGCAACTCGTGTGAAGTTGTCGACTCGAGCGAATGAGCGCACTCGCTTCGCTCTCATAGGCAATCGCACTTCGCTCTCATAGGCAATCCTACCTAACTAAACCTAATTTTTCGCACTAGTTGCACAATATACTATTTCAAAAAATTCACAGTCCTTTACAAAGATGCAACCGGGGGTGCATTGAAAATGATGAATAAAAACGTAAAAATATGATTAGTGTTAATATGAGTGTATTACATACATATGTTTAAATAACGAACTTAACAAAAAACAACAGATTTAAAGATTCACTGAAAAAGTAGTAATGTTAACATTAAATAAAACATTGTCAATAATAATTATGCGATCGCACCTATCCGTAAAACAAACAAGCAAAAAAACAAAATAACATAAAAAACATCAGGTTAACATGATGACAGATCATGATCGATGACAGATAAAGAACTCTTACGGAAAGTTACACTTTACGATATAATTTTTTAACTGTTAAAGGCAAACCCCATTTAAACACAAAACTTTTTAATACCTACTACTGTATCTAAAAGACATTTTTTTTAAATTACTAAATTCTTAGCCACGCTTCTGTTTTCTTGGCTGTTGTGCGTCACGTCACAGATTAACAGGCCCACGTTTGCACCACAAGGCGATGCTGCAGACCGGTCGTAGAAATTTATGTTCACAACTTGTAGTCAATCTACACAAATATTATCAAAAGCTTTTTTTCTTTTAAAATGTGTTCAGATTTTGTAAAAAGTATAAGTCAAAATCGCAAAACTTATATTTGATATGAGTTTCTTAGTTTTTAACTAATATAGTGGCGAATTACAAATATTCCTTTTCAATGAAAATTAATCAGTTAAATAAAATAATTTAATAAATTACTAGCTTTTTCCCGCGACTACGTTCGCGTTACACCTCGAATTGTTCATGCATTGATTTAAATGATTTTTTACTAATTTATAGAGAGCTAGTGAGCATAGATGTTTTTTATTTTTCATCTCCTTTTTATTTATTAAGAGCACTAATACTCTCTTTATAGGTTATTTTTTATTCTTTGAAGGATAATTGAGGAAGATATATTTCGTTATGATGTCACTAAATAAACCCTTGTATAAAATTTTATACTGTCTGGTTTATAATGTTATAGTATTGCATTTTCGTACAGCAAACTTTCGTTCCCTATTCTACTCCCTAAGTGTATAAATTTCGTAAATTCGCTTTATCTTTGTGCCAATTTTTATGTGTATAATCCAGGTCACCAAGTTTTATATCAATTTTACTAAATTTACCCATTTGGTTGATAAATTTCAAAAATTTCTTCTAATTGTAGCATTTCATTCTTCTAGACCAAATAGTAAGGAATTTTCATACAACAAACTGTTCCGACATAATTTTACTCTCTATGAGGATGAATTTCCTAAAATCGCTTTGTGTAGCTAATTCACTAATGTCGTTTAAACGAACCTTTGTGCTAATATTTATGTATCTTAAGCTGGCGGTATGAACTCACTCCTAAAATATCTAAAAACTTAATATATAATCTAACTAACACACCACTGACAATGACAAATAATTTATTTCTGGAGGTATTGTGTGTAGGTGTTTTCAGGTATGTTTTAGTATTTAGTACATGTATTGTGTTAGACATTTATATGCCCAGTATATTTTTGTTTAACAAATCAATCAGGAAAAAATCCAAAACCTACCGTTATAGGAGGTATAAGATGATTAAACTTATATAATGACAACTACTTATCGGATAACAAATTAATTACTACTGTCAGCTACTGTCTAGGTAGAATATACCTAGAGTACCTACATCTACCTATGATGTAGGTAGATTAAAGCTTATTTTGACTTTACGTCTCACTTCGGTGTCACCAGCTGAATTTTTCAGGGATGGAAGTACAGTACATGATATGGGGACCCTTATTCCGAAAATAGTACAAAATTAGACCGGGTAAAAGGGCATTATCATCAAAAATCGATATATTAATACCACCGTATAGAGAAAACAAATACTTATTTTTTGATCCAGTACACAATAAAGCCTTCGTAGGGAGTAATTTTTTATAATTATTTACAAAAAAATATTTCCATTAGCGCTTATGACCAAAAAAAACTTTAAATATGAATAACTCATTTCAATCATGCGAAAATTTGGTTTAAAAATAGACTTTTTTTAATATAACTTTGATTTAACGAAAAGCGAAGGTCTAAATGAAAAAAAAGAAACAATTTAAAAGTTTCGCTTATGTCTTGACAAGGTATCAAAGCAAACCCCATATTTTTTGCTTTTAAACTAATAAAGATATATCAATAAACAATTAGCGATGTAATGGTTTTTGCGCGCGCTGGCCGACTGCCGCCGCTGCGCCGAGATTTCCTATACCCTTGTATATATGACGTCATGGTGTGGCAAATGTAGCATTTTAATTCGATTTGGGCTCCCTTATATAGGATAACAGAAACATTTTCAATGTTAATAAATGTCGACCTGACTATAACGATTTCTGTTTATACTTTATATGATAAGATACAATATTTTATTGTTGCAGTTTGGTTTGAGCAAACCAGGTTGCGCAAATTAACTTTAATAAGTTACCAGTCCCGTTTTACAAAAATCAATAAAATAACTCTAACAGATGATAAAAGCAAAAAACTTTTTAATCTAAGAAAAACATATAACCTCAGATTACTTCAATTTGACTAGAAAAAATCGTACCAATTTTTTGCCCAAACAATAATACACATCGGCGACGAAAATTCGTCCCCTAGGTTTTGGAAAAGCTATTCTATATTCTCGCCACGTATGTAACGAAATTTGTTATAAAATGTTTTCTCTTTCATTTGCAGGGGGAGAGAAAAGCAGCGACAAGATGAGTTTTTTCAACTCCCTGTCTGAATACGTCAGCAACAGCGTCGCCGGTTTATCGCTAAGTCCGAAAAGGTAGGTACCTCAATATATCTCAGAATAATTTTATATAGAGTGCAGACTTTGAAAAAGTCTTCTTTAAAGGTGTTCCTGTTATCATTCTTAACCACAAATTGAATTGAATTTTAATATGCAGTATGTTCCAGGCTGAGCAATGTATTAGAGGTTTCTAGAAAACTATAATATCTAGATCGGAGATTTTTTGTAGGTCATTGTTTCACATCGATTAAAATATTTTCAATATGGCGGCACTTCCGGAAACACCGGAAGTTGATAGCAACTTTTTTATATATGGATACCCCCATTTTTATTATATATAATATAATAACAAAATAAAATAAAATAAAATAAAAGTAGGTAGATATGTGATAAGAATGTTAACAGAATTTTTATTTATTCGTGTTTTAATAGCCAAAACGAATACATAGATTCTCGCGACAGTTTTCGTGTAAAATTTATTTTTTTAAGTAAAAGAATGGATGTTTACGAAGTTCATGCGAAAATTCAAATTGTAAAATAGTATTTCCAAAATAGGTCTTAACGGAACAATTTTTCCACAAACTTTTGTAAACAGGGCAATTCCATCTTTACCTACTATATCAAGAGTTATTAATAAATTTGAAACATATGGGTGCGTGCTCCCACAAAAACACAAAAAGCCTGATGTGTTGATTAATGAAGAACAGGAGTTAAAGCAAGTGTTCATTTGTGCTACCGCGGATCAAAATCCCATGTTTTCAAGTAATCAAATTGCTGAGGTAGTTGCCCTGCCCACAATGCCCGTATTGTTCAAGAATATTTGAACAATACTTTTCCCAACCGTTTAATAAGTGGATATGGAACTATTTTGTGGCCCGCTAGATCACCAAATCTTTCTCCCAATGATTTATTTTTGTGGGGTTATGTAAAATCCAAAGTGTATGGTCATAATAGGGCTAATAATCTAAATGAGCTTCAAGTAAAAATAAGAGAGGCTTTCCAAACTATTAGCCCTAATATGTTAGCCAATGTCAGACGGGGATTTTACGACCGCCTAGGCTTCTGTCTAGCACAAGAAGATGGTCTTTTTGAACACTTGTTATAACTTTTTTTATTTAGAGTAATATTTTAGTTTTTTTGGGTTTAAAGACTCTATTTATTTTTAGTTTTGGCTTGTAAACACACTCAAATAATAAATATTTAAGTAAGAAGGTAAACACTTAAAATGAAAATAAAAAATACTCGGCACTCCTCGCGTCGTATTCCTAGTCTGTCACGACCGACCCGTCCAAGCACAACTGCAACTGCGTACTGCCTGACCAGCCGACTAGCCGGCAGAGAATCTCGAGTACGAACGCAAATCGAGTAAACGTAAATTCGTCCGGCAACTTGCTATGTTACTAGTAGCCTGGTCTTCTCTGTATACCTAACATTAACCGTTTTTAGGAAAAAAATATTTAAAATTTTTGGAGGAATAAAACTTCCTGTGAAAAAAATTTGTATAGCCTAAACGTAAAATTTAATTATTACCATAGCCACTGTGACATAAAGAGGAGACATGTGGCTATTTATTTCAAAAATTGGATCGTTCGAATGTCATATAATATTGGCCGTGACTGTCATAGAATTGAGTTATTAATAAATGATCACAAATTATTTTTTCCAAATGGAAACCTATTTTTTATATTTCACGAGTGAGATTTTTCATTTCGTTACTTTTTGATTATACATGTCCCTATACCTAAAATAAATCTTTTTTTAAGTTATTTAAGGTTTAGTTTCAAAGCGTATATTTTTTATTTTAACTGGTATAGCTTATGTCTTTAAATTTCAAGCAATATATCAGGACATGTTATAATGCGACTTTTTGGTAAAAAATCAGTATATGATCGATCGTCATTTTCAAACCAAAACTTTGCGTTTTTTTTTTTTGATCGTATGATTTATTATCTATTCTATTATCAACAACCATTTGATATCTCTAAAGAGTGAAAATACGACATACAGCTGCTGTGGTAATCACTAAGTTTGATGTTTAGGCTATACACATTTTCTTGACAGGCAATTTTATTCCTCCAAAAATTTTAAATATTTTTTCCCAAAAACGGTTAATGTTAAATATAGAGTCTTTGATGTCAAAATTCATAAAATTTTACGCATAATTCAAGTTTGTACTAAAAAATGGGGGTTAAAATAAGAAAGTTGCTGTCAATTTCCGGTATGTCCAGAAGTGTCGCCATTTTGAAAATAGTTTTAATCGATAGATCACATTGTAGAACAATGATGTGAAAAAATCTCCAAACCATTTTAGGACATAAATTTATAAAATCTTTCTTACTTATTTTTATCTGCAGATTGCAGAATATGTTGCCAAAATTTTTCGATTATTCAATTCTGACCACCTTGTATATTGAATTAGCATTACCTTTTCAATTTGTTTGCAAAAGTCGTGAAACACTATTTCCAATAAATTAAAACAATAATTTTGAACTAATAAGCAGGGCTTCTCGATTAAAAATTACTGGTTAACACAGTCATGGTACTCCAAATTGAAATTTAAAATACTATTTTTTTTAATTGAAAATATTAAAAGTTGACATATTATATGTCATTCTATTCAGAATGCCTTTCTTCTATCTAATAATGTAAAAAAACTGCCGAGGGTACCATTTAAAAATCAAAAGTTGTACTCATTTCTTGTGAAACAGGTAGTGGCCGAAAAAATTGAATAAGTCATTATATGCCAAACCTCGTTTCTTTTATCTGAAAAAATAAAAAAGTTATAGGGGTCAGACACTTTTGAAAAATATCCGGTATGTATCTGAGAACTTTTGTGGGTAAAACAGAAAAAAAATGGAAGAAGAAATAAAACTTCCTTTCTTTAAGTAGAATTATTTACCTTCAGACTTGGTTAGCAAAATTATAAGGAATAATCAACTACTATAAAACTATAAAGTTATTAAAAAAGACAAACCTGTCGTAATATTTAAAACCAATAATTTATCTTAGTTGCTCTAACAAGAAACGAAGTTTCCAAAAATTACAATCCTGAAAAGACTCATTTTGTCTTCTTCAGCGTCTCAAAACTTTAAACAAACCAGCAGAAAATTAAAAAGAACCAACAAAAGAGTTCTTTTTTTCACTCCCTGTCTTTTTCGTTCTCCTTAATTTCAAAACTTTTCCTCATTCGAACGGTAAATCTTAATTTAGAAGTTAATAGTTTAAAGACTTCGGCAGTATCGATCGAGGAATGGGGCCAGGAAGGGCGAAGGCCTAGAAAGTGGTGCCATAAAAATGAAAAATGTTCCGAAATAGGGGAAGCGACTGTTATTATCTTCAGCGGTATTAAAGAGGATTTAACATTTTGAATTTTATTTTTAATAAAAAAAACTAAAAAGAGAAATTAGATCCAAAGTTTTTTCATTAATAATTATGGCCCATGCAGAATTCTCTCTGAACATTTAAGAATAATAATCTAACAATTAAGGGTGTAATAACCATTAAATTTGAACAATTGCCTTTGTGGAAGGTTCTATTACTAAAAAGAAAAGAATTTTAGGTTTGATTTGGCCACTGGAAGAAAATCTACAAAAAATAGGATTTTTTTTCAAACGTCACAAAAGTATTAATTTTTGCGACGTGATTGACAATATAAAAAAGCCATTTTAACGCCTAGGCATAAAAGTAAAGCACTTTTACGCCTAAGCATAAAAGTAAAGCACTTTTACGCCTAAGCATAAAAGTACGAAAATATATTATTAAACTGACATGAAGTGTCAAATTCAATTGGCGTAACCATAGTTTCTTTATATATAATTACGTACAAGGTATAGTAAACGCCACGAATGTTTGGGAGTGATTCATCGCTTGTTGAAGTTAGAAGCGACACACGCGCGCTCTCATTTTTACATTAAAAAGGTTAATTTTTACCGCAGACGTAGGTTTTTAAAGGCCCGACCTAATCATCTAACTGCGCTCCTCCTACTTATTCTAAAATGTTACCGTGATTGACAAAGACGATACTATATCGCGTTTCTTTGATTGATTCGTTTTTTTGCGTCAGTCCATTGGTGTGCTTGCAGTGCGACCAGTGGGGCATTCTATTTTATGTTTATAACTAAATATATGTTTTGACAAGACTTTGACAGTTAAAACAACAAATTTCAACAGATTATAATATATTGATTATTATATGACTTGAAACACCACGGCACTGGAATTAAGTTTTATGTGACCTTGAACAGATTAGTTCACATTGTAGCGACCGATGAATCACTGCCAAACATTCGTGGCGTTTACTATATGACTTTTAAATCTTTTTATATTATTTGGAACGTTTGAAAAAAAAATAGCATGTTCTATTAGAAGTAAAAGTGACCTTATGTGCCACGGCTGTTGTTAACTTACAGCTTCGCCACGAAAAGTGTAATTTTTACTCCTAATAAAGCAATATACTATTTTGTAAACACCAATACATTGAACTGAAACAAAAAATTACTTAATGGGAGAAATTTTATATTGGTGACACATCTAGAACCTTATACAGGGTGTCCCAGAAATAAGTTCAAGTACTGGTTTTAACTGGTAGTATAGTTCGCCCTTAGAAACACGCCTATGAGGTGGTTTTTGCGAATAAAAAAATGTTGAATTTTTCATAACATTTTTTGGAAAATATTGAAAAACTTTTGAGTGCCGCTTGTTCAGTTTCCGGAAATCTGTTTATAGTGCTTCGAGAGAATGCAATCCTGCAAATGTACTCCTCCACCTCCTCCCATTAGATCTCCATATTAAAAATCTGGCATCTATTAGTGCAATGAGGCTCAGATAAACTGGTTGCTGGACGGAGAAACTCTACGGTCACAGCAGTATCCTTGGATACCGAAGGATATTATTGCTGGTGTGAGGCTCCCCCGTTTTTGCGAAAGCTCACAGATGCCGAGTAGCCTTGGTTCGGTTCCTCGGGCGCCACCCCCAAAGTTTAAAGTGTTTGAGAGACCACTAGTGCCAATACGGGTAGCTTTTATACAGTGGAGAAC